AATTTCCCATCTCTGGAGAGGATCCTTTGCTCTTGATCATATGCTACCTCTTGAAATGATTGAACATCAACCATTTCTCTTTGGTGCAGTGACTCTGTGTATTCCTTCCATCTTTTTAAAAGTTTTTATTTTGAATTGAGTGATAGTTTACATGGGAGACAATCAGCTTTACATTCATCCTATCGTATTTTGTTTCATTGCAATGCCTACAATCCCCTCTATGCATCATCATTCAATAGCATTTGCTTCCATTCCCTTTGTTTTTTGTTTTTTTTTTTTGGATGTACACCAAAGCACTCAGGAATATATAACCATTCAAACAACCAAAAGGCATACCCTGCACGGCTGCCCCCTGGCTGCCAGCACACAGCCCCTCTCCCTCCTTGAGTCCAGAGTCCCCAACCACTCCGTCTCTCCGCGGCATCATCTCTGCCTCCATCTCTGGTGTCGCTGTTTTTCTGGATAGGGTCCCACACTCTGCTCTTCTCCCTTGATGGTCCCTGGGTCCTCCGCTCCCGGACTGCAAGATCAGCCACTCCCCTCCTTTTATTATAAAACATCTACCTTTACATTGGCAACATTTGCAATCAGTCCTGATAGCAATTATTCACTATTGAACCACAAGAGTCTTATTCCCATCTCTTTTCACTAGCCCTGTCTAGACAGGTTGGAAACCACTCAGTGGAGATCCTACCTTCCCCTTCCAGCTTCTTTTGATGCTTTCTACATCATTCTATAGTTTGCCCAGAGAATCCTTCAATAACAAAAGCAAAGGTTTGACTTTTTCTTCAGTTCTCTCAGCTTGAGAAATGCTGAGCATTTCTTTTGGTTTTCTAACGCCAGGTCTTTGCACATCTCGTTAAATATTTGACTTTGTCTTCTCAAGCTGACCTTTGAAATTTTCTGTTCAGCTCGTGCCTCATTTCTTCCATTTGCTTTAGCATTTCTACACTGGAGAGCAAGTTTCAGTGTCTCTTCTGACATCCATTTTGGCCTTTTCCTCTTTTTGGTCTTCCAAATGACCTTTTGCTTTTTTCCTGTATGATGTTCTTGATGTCATCCACAACTCTTCAGGCCTTCGGTCTTTAGTGTGTAATGCATCAAATCTGTTCTTCAGATGATCTCCTAATTCAGGTGGGATATATATTCAAGGTCGTATTTTGGATCTCTTGGACTTGTTCTCATTTTCTTCAGCTTCAGCCTGAACTTGCATATGAGCAGTTGCTGGTCTGTTCCACAGTCTGCCCCTGGCCTTGTTTTAGGTGATGATACGGAGTTTTCCCACGGTCTCTTTCCACAGATGTAGTCAATTTGATTTCTGTGTATTCCATCTGGTGAGGTTCGTGTTTAAAAAAGGTATCTGTAATGAACAAATCATTGGTCTTGCAAAATTTTGTCACTCTCCAGCATCGTTTCAATCACCAAGGCCATATTATCCAACTACTGATTCTTCCTCTTTGCTCTCAGCCTTTGCATTCCAATCACCTGTAATGATCAGTACATCTTGATTGCATGTTTGATCAATTTCAGGCTGAAGGAGTTGGTAGAATTCCTTTTCATCGTCACTGGCTTTAGTGTTGTTGTTGTTGTTAAGTGCCGTCGAGTCGGTTTCGACCCATAGCGACCCTGAATAGGGTTTCCGAGGCTGTAAATCTTTACGGGAGCAGATCGCCTCATCTTTCTCCCGCGGAGCAGCTGGTAGTTTCGAACTGCTGACCTTCCGGTTCGCAGCCCGATTTGTAACCACTACGCTATGGCTTTAGTGGTTGGTACGTAAATTTGAATTATAGTGGTATTAACTGGTTTTCCTTGTAGGCATACTGATATTAACCTATTACAGACAGAGTTGTACTTCATGACTGATCTTGGTACTGTTTTTGTTAACTGCTGTCGAGTCAGTTCCAACCCACAGCGATCCCGTGTAGAGTTTCCGAGGAGCAGCTGGTAAGCTTGAACTGTCGGCCTTGTGGTTCAAACCAACTTTGCAGTCCGGTGCATTAACCCACAGTGTCACACCAGAACTCCTTGATATGGTTAAGCACTCTGGAATATTAGCTGAGAGGCTGGGGGTTTGAACCCATCCACCTCGGAAGAAAGGCCTGGTGATAGGTTTCCAAAAGGCATCGAAAACCCTGTGGAGCACAGCTCTTCTCTGCACCCATGGGGTCACCATGGGTCAGGGTCGAATCATTGGTATTTGGGGTGTGTATCTTCTGGAGTCCTGGTGTGGCCCTGTGGATTAATGCGCCAGACTACAAAGCAGTTTGAACTGCAAAGTTGGCTGTTCAAGCTCACCAGGTGCTCCTCGGAAACCCCTAAAGAGGGTCGCTATGGGTCGGAACCGACTAGACGGCACTTAACAACAACAACAAGCTTCTGGAGAGAATTCAAGGAGGAGGCCAAGTAAAACAAGTGTAAGGCATGAGGGTCGCGATCATAGGTTACATCTTCAATGACCTCCGCACTGCCCGGACAGGCCTACACGAGGACTCTATGCACACATCCACATTGGCTCCGCCTCCCATAACACGCTCCTGGCTCCGCCCATTAGGACTGAGCCCTCTGTTCCACCTCCTATCAAGGCTGCGGCCCATCCTGGTTCAGCCTCCTGGGTCCCGCCCACCGAGCGGGTCCTCTGGGCCCTCCTCACATCCCTGCCTTCTATTTATTCCATCTCTTAGGCCCCACTCATTTTTTTTTTTTAATGTTTTATTGTAAATTATGTGATAGTTTACATGGGAGAACATTAGTTTTACATTCATCCTATCGTATATCGTTTCATTGCCATGGTTACAATCCCCTCCATACATCATCAACTCCATTCATTCTTTTAGTCTGTTCTCGCCCATACGTCCTCCTGGTCCCGCCTCTTGTCCACTTTCTCTTGGTCCTGTAAAAGAAGCACTGAACTAGTAACCGCAAATTTAGTTGTTCAAGCCCACCAGTTGCTCAGCGGAAGAAAGATGAGGCTTTTTGCTCCCACAAACATTTACAGCCACGGAAACCCTATACAGGCTAGAGTACACGGCAGTACGTAACAACATTCCGGCCCCGCCTTCCTCTTAGTCCCGCCTTCCCCAGAACTCATTACATTCTCTCCTCCTTCCCCTGGTTCCGCCTCTCAGGCTGCGCCCCCTCCGCAGTTCCGTGTTTGCCATTGCTCCGCCCACAGCGCCTCAGGCCCCTGCATGGGGCTGCCTTCAGCACTGCCTGAAAGAAGTGTCTCCTAACTTGGAGGCGATAGTTCGGCCAATGTCCACCGAGCGGGCCACGATTGTGGGTGGAGGGGAGGGGATGGCTTTTGGCGCCCCTGCGGGACGGTACTGCCGGAGAGGTTCCGTTCTCCTGGTTGAGGCGCGGACGGGGTATCCCCGAGCGCGCCGACGACCACAAAGGTCCCCGCCCGGCGCAGGCTTCGGATAATTGCGTTTCAGCCGCCGCCGCTGTTGCAGCCGATGGGTCGCGATACGAGATCGCGCTCGCGGTCGGGGGGTCGCGGGAGCCGAAAGCAGCGGAGCCGAAGCAAGAGTAGGAGCCAGAGCAGAAGTCGGAGCGGGAGTCATGGGCGACGAAACCGGCGGCGCCGGGACGACGAGGAGCGGCGCAGGTGGAAGCGGCGGAGTCGGGAACGCAGGTGGGGATCTGCGTCTGCCTTCGGGAGCTCCCTGTTTATGAGGTGGCGATCCGGGCTAGCTGGTCAGGTAGGTCTCCCTGGAAAAGGTGACGTCTGAAGACGAGTCGGAATTAACCTGGCAGCGGAAGGGAGGTGAGAGGCGTTCGCACCAGAGCACCAACTGGTGCAAAGTCCCTATGGCCGCAATGACAGCAAGGAACCCGGAGTGAGCGAGAGCATGGGAGCTAGGAGATGTGGTCGGAGAGGGAATGGGAAGCCAGATCGTGTGAAGTCCGTGGTGGCATTTGGTCGCTATCCGAAGGGAAATGGGGAGCTATGGAGGGTTTTGCATAGTGGGAAGAGTGGTATGGTCTGACAAACTTTTGCAAAACTTCCCTTGGCCTCTCCTAAGGAAGGTGCAGAGAGGGCGAAGCCAGCGTGGCACTAGGAAGTAGGATGGCATTGATCTTGACCAGAGGCAGGCAGAGAAAGGGGCGAGGTTTGAGAGGGATTTCCGAGATAGAGGGACCAACACTTGCTAACGGAGGTGAGCTGTCAGCACGAGGGACAGGCTCTGACAAGTGGCAGGATTCACCATGGACTTCTGGAACATGGGTCTCGGCTGCCGCCTCGCTGTTCGTCCACCTCACCAGGTTTGGTCCAGTCTCAGGGCTTTGCACTGATTGTTCCCTCTATCTGGACCTCCCATCCCTGAGCTCTCCCCTGGCTCCTGCCCACATCCTCCAGGTGTCACCTCCACAGAAAAGCCCTCCCTGACCCCTCTGTGCACAAACTACAGCCCCACGCTCTTACTCCATCCCTTGTGACGACGTTGTTCTTTGCGATCACCCCTGTATCAGGCCCTGGATGCAGGCTCAGAAATGCAGTTCCTCACTTGATCCTATACCACAGCCAGTGAGTGATTGCCCAGTAAGCCCCAAGCCGAGCTCTGTGTTTCTCCCTGTAGATCCGATTCTGAGGAAAAACGATGGCAGCGGCAAAGACGGAAAAGCCGGAGTCCCGCACCTCGCTGGCGCTCCAGGGACCCATCCTCCCCGTCTGACTCTGGGGACGAGCGGCAGAGGGGCCGGTGGACCCGGCACGATCGGACACGTTCCTGGTCCCCAGGCTCATCGGCATCAAGCTCCACATCCCCAGGCCACTCTCCGAGCCCTCGTCGTGCGGCGGCAGCCCTGAGCCAACAGCAAAGCCTACAGGAGCGGCTGCGGCAGCGGGAGGAGCAAAAGCAGCAGGAATTGCTGATGAAGGCCTTTGAGACGCCCGAGGAGAAGCGGGCCAGGCGGCTGGCCAAGAAAGAAGCCAAGGAGAGGAAGAAGCGGGAAAAGATGGGCTGGGGCGAGGAGTACATGGGCTACACCAACACTGACAATCCCTTTGGCGACAACAACCTCCTGGGCACCTTCATCTGGAACAAGGTGAGCCTGGGGAGGGGCGGGCTCCAGGTCCCTTGCTCAATCACACAGAACTCATTCTACCCCAGGGTCTTTGCACTCGTCGTTCCCACTGCCCAGAATGGAGACTCCCTGCCTCAATGCCTGGCTAGTTCTGTCTCATCTTTCAGGTCTCTGCTGATGTTTCAGATTTCCAGGGAGGCCTTTCTGGCCACCCTGGGTCCCGCAGGTACCAAGGGGTTTTTTGTCAAAGCCCACATCTGCTGTACGCACGGCATCTAGCAAATGCAGCATTCTCGTGCATCAGGCCCGGGAGGACAGCAGTCTCTGCCTGTGTGCTTGCCTCGCCTTCTCAGGGAGAAGCGGGCTGTCTGTCTGTGAGGAACGGAAACCCGGGAGGAAACAGGGGCAGAGGCCTGGGTGCAGCCTCGAACCAACAGGTCCAGATGGCCTCGCTGCATAGGTGATGTCTGCCCACGTGTCTCAGCTACACCAGGGCGTGGTTGTCAGCTGTCCTCTTTTTCTATCAGACTCTGAGCCCTGTGAGGCCAGCTCTGTCCCTGGGTTGTGGCCCACAGCAGGTACTCAGTAAACATGTGTCAGATCACGCACCTGCCCTGTCCAGGCATCCCACTGATTTGTTTTTATTTTTTTCAACTTTGAATCTCGCACTCCTCCAGTGATCTTTTAACAAGCCTTTCCTTGTGCCTTCTCAGTGCTGGGGGGCAAAGTCAGGCCTGGCCTGGGGCTTCTGTCAGCCCTCGGTGGGACCGACCTGTCGGGGGGTGGGTCGGCTGGCCCGGTGCTCATTCATTTGGAGATGTTATAAGGAAAGATATCAGAAGTGGGTGACTTGACAGAACAGCAGTTGACCAGGCGTCATTTTGGTATCTGCAGTTCTGAATTCAGGGCGTCGGCTTTGGGGGAGGCTGTCTCCTTGTGGGTACAGCTGAGCTGCTTTATTGTCGTTAGATACCATGGAATCTGCACCGACTTACAGCAACCCTGTGCGCAACAAAATGAAACACTGCCCAGTCCTGCACCAACCTCACGGTCGTTGCTACATTGGAGCCCATTACTGCTGTCACTGTGCCAGTCCATCTCTTTGGGTGTCTTCTTGTTTGCTGACCCTCCACTGTACCAAGCATGATATCCTTCTCCAGGGACTGGTCCCACCTGATAGTAGGTCCGAAGTATGAGAGACGAAGTCTGGCCATCCTGCTTCTTAGGAGCATTCTGAGTGAACTTCTTCTAATACAGATTGGTGTGTTCTTTTGGCATGGTATTTTTAATATTCTCCTCCAACTAGATAACTCAAGTGTATCAATTCTTCTGTGGTCTTCCTTATTCATTGTCCAACTTTCACATGCATATGAAGTTATTGAAAATATCAAGGCTTGGGTCAGGCCCACCTTAGTTCTCAAACTGACATCTTTGCTCTTCCACACCTTAAAGAGGTCTTGTGCAGCAGATTTGCCTAATGCAATATGTCATTTTATTTCTTGACTGCTGCTTCCATGAATGTTGATGGTTGATTCGAGCAAAATGAAGTCTTTGACAAGTTCAACCTTTGCTCCATTTATATGATGTTGTTTATTGATATGTTGTTGTTAAGTGCTGTCAAGTCGGTTCCGACCCATAGCGACCCTGTATAGGGTTTCCAAGGAGTAGTTGGTGAGCTTGAACTACCAACCTTGCAGTTCAAACGGCTTTGCAGTCTGGCGTATTAACCCACAGCGTGATGAGGATTTTTGTTTTGTTTACATTGAGGTGCAACCCATACTGAGCGCTGTGGTCTTTGATCTTCATCACTAAGTGTTTTAAGTCCTCTTCGCTTTCAGCAAGCAAGGTTGTATCCTCTGCATATCTAAGGTTGTTAATGAGTCTTCCTCCAATTCTGATGCCACATTATTCTTCATGTAAACCAGCTGCTCGAATTATTAGCTTAGCATGCAGATTGAATAAGTATGGTGAAAGAATACAACCGTGGCACACACCTTTCCTATTTTAAACCATTCAGTGTTCCCTTGTTCTATTTGAACAATGGTCTCTTGGTGTATGTATAGGTTCCTCATGAGCACAATTAAATTTTCTGGAATACTCATTCTCCACAAGTGTTGTCCACAGCTTGTCCACAGCTTGTCATGAGCTACACAATCAAACGCCTTTGCATAGTCAGGAAAGCACAGGTGGTGCTGTGGGTTAGTGCATGGAACTACAAGATTGTGTTCAACCACAAGGTCCATGGGTCAAGCTCACCAGCACTCCCTGGAAACCCTATAAAAGACCATTATGAGTTAGAACTGACTCGATGGCACTTAATAACAACAAAACATCTTTCTGGTAGTCTCTGCTTTCAGCCAAGTTCCATCTGACGTCAGGTCCCTCATTTCACGTCATTGTATGATTCTGGCTTGAACCTTCTGGCTGTTCCCTGACAATGTACTGTTGCAGGGTTTTTTTAATTATCTGTTAACAAAATTTTCTTTGCGTGCAGTATTAATGATATTGTCCGATGGTTTCATCATTCCATTGGGTCACCTCTCTTTGGAACGGGCACAGGTACTGGATCTCTCTCAGTCAGTTGGCCAGGTAGCTGTCTTCCAAATTTCTTGGCATAGATGAGTGAGTGCCCTCTGTGCTCCATCAGTTCACTGAAAGGTTTCCATTTGTATTCCATCACTTCCCTGAACCTTGTTCTTTGCCAATGCCTTCAGTTCACCTTGGACTTCTTCCTTCAGTATCATTGGCTTTTGATCATATGCTACCTCTTGAAATGGTTGAACATGGACCCTTTCTCTTTGGCACAACGATTCTGTGTATTTCTTCTAAAAGCTCCCAAAAGCTTTACTCCATTCGTGTCATCACGTTCAAGGCTACTTTGAGGAGGCAGCTGTTCCCCAGTCACATTTGGAGTGCTTTGCTGCCTGAAGGGCTCATTTTCTGGCACTATTATCTACAATATTCTGGTGTTCTTTAATCGTGTTTCAATAGTCACTATTCTGGTTCTGCCAGTGTCCACTGCTAGTCCTAAGGTTCTCAGTGACTCAGTATTCGGAAGTACTGACGCTGCTTCTTCCTAGTCTGTCTTCTTATGGGAGCTCTGCTGAAACCCTGTCACTGTGGGTGACCCTGCTGGTATTTAAAATACAATGGCATAGCCTCCAGCATCATAACAACACACAAACCACTACCGTACAACAAACTGGCAGCAAGTGGTGGGGCAGCCTTATTAATGTAGCCAAAAGGTGCTCATGGAAACCCCAAGCATGTCAGAGTGGAGTGGTACTCCTGCTGATCTTTTTGGATGTAGGTGACCAGGTCTTCTCCCCTCTTGGTGGACTCAAGTCATCCACCTCTCAGTTATCAGTTGAGCATATTTGCTGTCTACACCCTAGAGTCTTGTTGCCTCTGGGACCATTCAGGGATTGCTGTCTCTGCATGGGAGTCAGGAGAGGCAGGTCACCCCTCTCTGACCTCAGTCCTGGCCTCAGCGCACGCCCTCTGGCCTGGTCCACATTGTAGGTCAGCGAGTCCAAGTCTCCCTGGTAGAGGGAGAAGGAGAGGCTGCAGGAACAAGTAGGGAGGGTCTCAGAGGGTTTGAGCCCCAGCTGCCCACGCCCTAGGCCCAGCACTCAGTGGTGTACCCTTGCAGGCTCTGGAGAAGAAGGGAATTGGCCACCTAGAAGAGAGGGAACTGAAGGAGCGGAACAAGAGGATCCAAGAGGACAACCGACTGGAGCTGCAGAAGGTAGGGTCTTCGGCATGGGAGCAGGATGCCTGCTCACAGCCTGGCTTAAGCCAAAGCAAGTCTCGATTAGCTTGTTGTTGTGAAGTGCCATCGAGTCGGTTCTGACCCATAGCGAACCTGGCGAGCCTGTATAGGGTTTCCAAGGAGCAGCTGGGAGCTTGAACTGCCGCCCATGCAGTTCAAACGGTTTTGCAGTCTGGCACATTAACCCACAGCGCCACACCAGGACTCCTAGATTATTAGCTGTGGTTGTTGTTGTTGTTAAGTGCCGTGGAGTCGGTTCTGACCCATAGCGACCCTGTACAGGGTTTCTGAGGCTGTAAATCTTTACGGGAGCAGAACGCCTCAGCTTTTTCCTGCGGAACAGCTGGTAGTTTCAAACTGCAGCCCGATTCGTAACCACTACGCTACCAGAGCTCCTTAGGGCCTGGGAAAGTCTAGGTAGGCATTTTTTCAGTAATAACTGGACCCAGGTGTTTAGACAAGCATCTCCCAGAAACTGTTCCTTCCGCTTCTCACCCTGGGCTTTACTCTCGGCCACTCCCTTCCCAGATCCTCAGCAGAATGGGCTCCACCTGCCCCCATAATTCTGTCCAAAGCTTTGACATCCCCAAGCCCATCCCCTGCCCACGTCAAGTGGGCACTGGATCTGAGGGCAGTGGGCGGTTTGCAGGTGAAACAGCTGCGTCTGGAGCGGGAGCGGGAGAAGGCCATGCGGGAGCAGGAGCTGGAGATGCTGCAGCGTGAGAAGGAGGCGGAGCACTTCAAGACGTGGGAGGAGCAAGAGGACAACTTCCACCTGCAGCAAGCCAAGCTGCGGTATGGGTCTGGCCTCGGCAGGCGGGCTCACACTCCTGTGCCATCCCGGGGTGGGAGGGGCTGGGGCGGGTTCATTCTCCTGCGCCATCCCCAGGATGGGCGTGGCCGGGGCGTGGCTGCAGACTCCTGCACCTTCCTTGGGTGGGAGGGGCCAGGGCGGGCTCACATTCCTGTACCATCCTGGAGTGGGAGGGCTAGGGTTGGACTCGCTCCTGATCTAACCCGGGGTGGGATGAGCCGGGGCGTGGCTACAGGCTCCTGCACAGTCTCTGGATGGGAGGGGCCAGGGCGGGCTCCCTCTCCTGTTCCATCACGGGGTGGCTGGGGCGGGGCTGCACCCTCCTACTCCATTGCCCACCCCTCACCTGCTCTCTTCCACCCTCCTGAGAGCCTGTTCTTCCAGAAATCCTTCCCTGACTGTCCTCCCCCGACACACACACACACACACACACTCTCTCTGCTCTGGTCTCTCAGTGCTCTGTGCATAAGAGCAGGGGTGCAGCCTGGCTTTGACATCCCCTGCCCCCCAGCTCCAAGATCCGCATCCGCGATGGGCGCGCCAAACCCATCGACCTGCTGGCCAAGTATATCAGCGCGGAGGACGATGACCTGGCAGTGGAGATGCACGAACCCTACACCTTCCTCAATGGGCTGACTGTGGCCGACATGGAGGACCTACTGGAGGACATCCAGGTGCCCCCAGAGGACGCCCTGGGCCCCAGGGGATGACCCCAGACTCCTGCCCCCAGAGGATGGACCCTTACCCATGTCTCCTCGCCCACCCTCAGGTGTACATGGAGCTGGAACAGGGCAAGAACGTGGACTTCTGGCGGGACATGACCGTCATCACTGAGGACGAGATCTCCAAGCTCCGGAAACTGGAGGCATCCGGCAAGGGGCCAGGTGAGCGGAGGACAGGCGTGGGGCTGCAGCGCCTGGGGAGTGTTGCGGATTGCTGGCTTTGACACTCAGTTTGACCTGGTGCCCACTGTGCCTTGGTTTCCCCACCTGTGGACTCTGGGGCTGCTGTCTTGACTCTGAGAGGGCACCTTTCCTCTTATGAGCACCAGGGGGCAGCACCTGGACGGCTGGTCCTGGGCTAGGGAGTATGCTTAGGGCCGGGGGCCCAGTGGACAGGTCCATGCTGCCCAGGCTCTGCAGCTCTTGGTCAATTTGTGCTTCTCTTTTGTCCATTACGTTTCCTTTCCATCAGAGGGAACTGTCTCTAAAGCCGCATGCCTCTGCCATATGCTGCCGCCCGGGGATGTCCTGTGCACTGTGGGGTGTTAGCAAGCATCCCCGGCCTCCATCCGGTCGATGCCAGGCTCCTCTGGGCACTACTGGCCACCCTCCATTGCACTCTGCCATGCCTGCTGCCTGGTGGCTGAGGCCAGGCTAAGACATGTTCCCTCAGGGCCCTCCCCACCAAGATCCCTTCTGTCCGCTCAGGCCGGGTCATCGGTTCAGCTTCCTTCCTTTTGGGAAAAAGGACATTAGCCTTTATCTTTTGAAATTCCATTTCGCTTTGGCTTTTTTCCCACGGTCATTGCTGTGCCCTGCCTCAGGCAGGCGGCTCCCCTCCACTCTGGTGGCCAGCTTAGTGACCCCAGCAGGGCCTGTAGTCTTCTCGGAGCTCTGTTGTCTTGTCCTTATGGCAAAAACGAGATACCTGGGTACCTGGTGGGTTATGAGAAGGCCAAGTTGGCGAACAGTTATCAAGCTCATCAAGAGGCAGAGGCCACTGGGGCGTTGCCAGCAGCACAGGCTGTTGTGAGCTGCCCTGGGGTCAGTTCGGACCACTGGCACCTCCGTGTGTGTAGAGTGGAACTGCCCCGGGGGGGTTTCAAGACTGGGACCCCTCAGAAGCACATTGCCAGGCCTGTCTTCAGTGCCTCTGGGTGGGTTCAAACTACCGACTTCTTGGCTCGTGGTTGAATACACAGTGGTCTGCGTCACCCCGGGACTTTGCAGTGATGTTATGAAAAGCAGGAGTGGTGATGCGGAGACCTCAAGCCTGAGGGAAGGGATTGCGTCAGCCTTCTCCCAGGCGGAAGGCCCCCCTCCCCACTCCCACTGGATCACGGTCTGTCGGGGGCTCCATCCTTTTCATAATCCAGTGTCCCTAGCAGGTGACACCACCCTGTCGCTGGACCTTTGGCTGGCACCCCAGCCGCCCATTCTTACAGAGCAGAGGCTCTTTGGTTTGGGTTGTACATTTCACTGTCCGTCTGTGAGTCTGGGGGAGCGAGGCCCAGGCTGTGGTGAGGAGGTGCCGGGTTTGCCTTTGTCCAGACAGATGTTTACACACACGTTAAATACAGCTTGAGGGCCAGGGTGTCTTGGAGCTCAGCCGGCAACTACATTTCCAGATCCTCATTCCCAGGCTGGGCTGGTCGCCTGGAGAGAAGCAGTGAGTGCCTGGGCGTGGGGTGTTGCCCACCAGCAAGGAATGTGGACTGGGCACCCAGCTGCTCTGCCCTGGGTGCCCCCTGCCTGGCCAGTGCAGGGGGGAGTTTTGACAAGAGGTCCCTTCCCTCTGAAGGTCATAACACAAAGGTCAGACTAGAGGAGGCCTCGACTGTGGGGGAGGGGATGGCTTCCTGCTGGAAGTGAGGGTCCTGCCAATGGCCCCGATGGTCAGGGACAAATGAGGTGGCCGGGAAGAAGGTTCTGTGCTGCTTACCACCAGCACAGCACATGCCTAGGCCCTGAAGTGGGTGGGGCTGATGATGAGCCTGTGACAGCTGCCATGAGGTGGGGTACAGGGGGGTGGTGAGGACCTCTTCCCATGGGATTGAGGGATTGGGGGTAGGGCAACAGCAGGAGAGGAACCACACCCTGGAAATGGGACTGCTCTCCCTTCTACATCAATGTGCAGAGCAGGGGCTCTGGAGCAGGGGCTGGTGCCGAGTCTGGTTGCTAAATGTGCCCCAGCAGTGCTTCAGACCTCATGAGCCATGAAGGGGGCTGGCAAGCCTGGGGGGTGGCCTTGGTGCATGGTGGCTGTCCTCCCCTGCCGGCTGTGGAGTTAGATGCTCAGAACCAGCTGGCCCTTGTGTGCAGAGCCCAACACCCTCCCCAAGGCCGTCCCTGCCCCCAACTCAGTAGGAGGTCAAGGGTCCCGTGCCTCTGAGGGGTGAAAGGTGGTGGGTGGGGGTGGGTGGCAGGTAGAGACAGAGCCTAGCCAAGGAAGATCCCATCTAGCTGAGAGCTCCCCCCCACACCCCCCAGGCGAGCGCCGAGAGGGCGTCAATGCATCCGTCAGCTCGGATGTGCAGTCAGTCTTCAAGGGGAAGACGTACAGCCAGCTGCAGGTCATCTTCCAGGGCATCGAAGGCAAGATCCATGCGGGCGGCCCCAGCCTGGACATGGGCTACTGGGAGAGCCTGTTGCAACAGCTCCGTGCGCACATGGCGCGTGCCAGGTGAGTGGGTCATGTGATCCTAGGTGGATCTCCCTACACCCTGCCAGACTTCTAAACCACCTTTTCAAGCCCCAGAGGTTAGGTCATGGGAGGGGGAGGGGTGCTGCCCAGAGTAAGAAGGAGCCTCAATGGAAGCCCGCCAGCCCCTTCACCCTGAGCGGGGCTTGTATACATTCTTGCGGCATACTTGGCACCTCCTGGTAAACACAGCGTCTGCACAAGTCACCTCTCTGTGCATCACTGTGGAACCCCATCGGCCACCTCCCCTCTATCCGGAACACCCTGCATCCAGATGATCCACAAGGAACACCCCCATCCAATATCTAGGGACACCCCTTCCAGGAAACCCCTCCATGCATGACCTGGGGACCCCCCCACACACACACCTGGGATAATACCCGCGCCCACGTGCCTGAGCCGCCTCAACCTGTGGCCATTAAGCACCCCCCATGTGAGCCTGGTTCCAGGACCCCTGACCCACCCCACCATCGACGGCCCTCAGGACTGGGGTCCTTGGCGGGAAGAGTAGAAGTGGGGCCTAACGCCCCCCTCATCCCAGGCTCCGGGAGCGGCACCAGGACGTGCTGCGGCAGAAACTGTACAAACTGAAACAGGAGCAAGGCGTGGAAAGTGGGCCCCTCTTCCCCATCCTCAAGACAGAGCCGCCCTCGCCAGGACGCAGGTAGTGTCCCCTTGCCTCTCCACGACCCCTCCTACCCAAGGCGTCTCCCTGCATCTGAGCCAGCCTCTCCCCACAGCCCCGAGCCCGAGGAGGAGCCTGCAGTGGCCCCCAGCCCTGTGGGCCCCGCGGAGGCGGAGGGCGGCCCGGAGGCAGCCGAGGCAGAGGCTGAGGCTGAGGGCACAGCGGTGCTCCTGGAGGAGGACCTGATCCAGCAGAGCCTGGACGACTATGACGCTGGGCGCTACAGTCCGCGGCTGCTCACCGCCCATGAGCTGCCCCTGGACGCGCACGTGCTGGAGCCCCACGAGGACCTGCAGCGCCTGCTCCTGTCGCGCCAGCAGCTCCAGGTCACAGGTGTGTGGGGGTTTCTGGGGCCACTCATCCGCCCGCGGGAGCCCGCATCCAGAGGCTGGGCCTGAGTTTTCCTTCCGGGAGGGTCAGCCCAGCTCACCCCCACCTCACCCTCAGGTGATGCCAGCGAGAGCGCCGAGGACATCTTCTTCCGGCGGGCCAAGGAGGGCATGGGGCAGGACGAGGCGCAGTTCAGCGTGGAGATGCCGCTGACCGGCAAGGCCTACTTGTGGGCCGACAAATACCGGCCGCGCAAGCCGCGCTTCTTCAACCGCGTGCACACGGGCTTCGAGTGGAACAAGTATAACCAGACGCACTACGACTTCGACAACCCGCCACCCAAGATCGTGCAGGGTTACAAGTTCAACATCTTCTACCCCGACCTCATCGACAAGCGTGCCACGCCCGAGTACTTCCTGGAGGCCTGTGCCGACAACAGGGACTTCGCCACCCTGCGCTTCCACGCTGGACCGCCCTACGAGGACATCGCCTTCAAAATCGTCAACCGAGAGTGGGAGTACTCGCACCGACACGGCTTCCGCTGTCAGTTCGCTAACGGCATCTTCCAGCTCTGGTTCCATTTCAAACGTTATCGCTATCGGCGATGAGGACCGGCCCGGCAGATGGGCACCTCAGACCCCAATAAAGGTAGTCTTAGGGACACTGGTGGCTTGGGTTCAAAGCCCCCCTGAGGCCGCTCTTCCTATTGCTGGATCTAAGTCTCCTCTGTGAAATGGGGTGACCTCGACCCTGCCTCAGAGAGAGCAGTCTAGATCAGTGTCCTGCACGTTAGAGGCCCAGTGGCCCCATTTTGTTGGTGTGCTGACGGAGGCCGAGCCCACTTGGGCCCAGCAGCCAGTATCCATCAGGTACCAGATGAGGCCTTGTCCTGGCCGTGGACACAGAGGGATGGGGTCAGAGGAAGCCCTCTTAGAAATGGGACACCAAGTCCAACCCCAGCGCCATCTGGCGTTTCTTATCTCTTCCGTAGACAATGGGGGACAGGGGCAGACAGGTGGCCTGACAGAGCCAGCACTGTGTCAGCCCCCCAGAAGGTGAGTGTGGAGACCAGTCATAGTCCACCCTCAGGGCTCTGACCGCTCTGGGCCACTGAGACATAGGACGTCTGGAACGTCTCCCCAGCCATCAAGCCCACTGCCCTCCTCCCAGGGCCCCGAATCCTCCCCTCTGTCAGAACAACCACTTTTAGCCACTCTATTCCATTTCTCAGATGGAAAGGTTGAGTCATTCTCCATAGACAGTGCTCAGCAGCAGCCCACAGCCACACCTCCCACTCCTGAAATTACACAAAACCAAACTCGTCATTCATCTGAAAACATGATGTTCGTCTCGAAAACCTTGTTTAGGTTGAGGGGAAAAAAACAAACCATCTTGTTTTATTTTCATGTGTTCACTCACAGGACTGCATGTTTTCTTAATAAATACTCTATTTTAGAATAATTATGTTTCCAGCACAGTAACAAAGATTGGAGCAATTTCCCCTAGTCCCTGCACTCAGAATCCCCACTGTCACCACCTCATGTAACCACAGTGTGTCTGTCACAAAGGAAAATCATGCTACACCAAAACCCGTGTGCAGATAGTGCCTCCCCTTCCAAGCTGCCCTGGATCATGAGCCCGGGCCGCCTCATAGTGCACATGGGAGACACGATTGTCCCATTCTCCAGATGTGGAAACTGGCAAGGGGTGAAACCACTGCTCACTGAGGCAGGGCAGCCCCCAGAGGGCAAGTCTGTCCCCTATTAGTAAGGTACCATTTGTGGGCACCTTATAGGGGTGAGCTCAGGGATGCTGCTCTGCCCCCTCCAGTGCACAGGAAGGCCCACCCCTTCGAAAGATCTGGCCCCAAATGTCAGCAGTGCCAAGGGGAAGTCTCTACTTTGAATTCTCTAGGAGAGAGGAGGGGGCAACCATCCTGGGAACCCAGAACACACCCTGGGAACTGAGAACACATGGTTTTCTTCCTGTCACCGGCAGCTCTGCTCACTTGCATCTAAGTGTCATGCTCAGAATGACCTGTACTCATGTTCAGGGCCTGGGAACAGGGTGTGGCTGGCACTTAGCCAAAAGATTTAAGCACCCACCCTCTGCCCCACTATTACCTGGAGACCCCCACCACAGAGATCCAGCCCTAAAGGTCAACAGTACCAGTGGGGAGGGACCCTAGAGCAGGCAGTCTGCAGAGAGTCCCATACTTCCCCGGCCATCCTTGACTCAACAGTGCTGGATCCTCTACCAGTGTCCCTCCCTATATGTCTTGTCTGAGCGCCTTTAGGGACGCTATCTACCCTACTTCACACAGGCTCTGTCCTCACTGTGGCAGGGGACACATTTTGGAAAGAACCCACTTAGATCAAGTAGCTCCAGAATAAGAAATGCCTAATAAGGAGCTCTGGCAAGGTCAGCAGTTCAAAACTACCACCTGTTCCACAGGAGAAAGATGAGGCTTTTGCTCCTGGCTCCACAGCACATGACAACACTCAGACCCTGTCCAACCCGTTTGTTTTTTTTTAAATCCATGCAGGCATCACTAATCAATCACAGAGTAGCTAGAGCAATCAGTCTCATTGCATCCTCCAGGCAGCCTCTACCAATCAATTCCCAAACTGCTGCACCAGTCACAGTGCAAGTCAGGCCCCTAGGAGCAAGGGTGAGTATGGGCCACACCTGGGAGGCATTTTTGAGCCTACCATGGTGCCTGGTATGTGGGTGTAGTGGGGTCACGTGATGGGATAGGCCCATCTAACATGACATATTGGGAGCTCACAATGCCTGGCCTGGGTAAACTGAGGCCCTCAGTTGTTGGGTGCTGCAGAGTTGGTGTTCCACTTACAGCGACCTTGTGAGCCGGAGAACAGTTCTACAGGGCTTCCTAGGCTGTAATCTACCAGAACATCACCAAGTTTTTCTCCCAGGCAGCAGCTGGGTGGGTTCGAACCGCTGATCTTTTGGTGAGCAAGCAAACTTCCCCCTCAAGCTGTTCCAATCCCTCCAGTGCTCCTGTCTGCCCCTAAGTAGGGAGAAGACTATGGCCAGTAGACCTCAGCCTCCAGCCCTGGAAGGGGTCCTGGGCCCATCATTTTCTCCTCCTGGGCCGCACAACCTAACTACTGTATCACTATGGCTCCTACTGAGGCTCACGGAGACCCACATTTCCCAGCCTAGAAAGAAAGCAAGAGTCAGGAGTGGAATTCACGTTTCTCCAACCTGGAAAATGCCATCTCCCAGGTCCCAGCCTCAGTTTCCCCACCTGTCCCCAGAAAGTTCCTCCCAGCCCCAAGGTCTTCTGTGGCTCTGGTAGTGTTGGCGCCAAAAGAGATGGCAGTCATCCCGGATGTTGGGGAATCCCCACTCTGAAAGGAAGCTAAACTGGGTGGGGCAGGTGAGGCATGAGATGCTTGGCCTGGGGGACCCCAGAAAGGATGCTGAAGGTTCCCTGGAAGGTGGGACAGTTGGACTGGGGGTGCGTAGGGAGGAGGCCACACACCTTGCAGAGACCAGGACAGCACACGTCCTCAGGGCAAGGGACAAGGGATGGAGCAAGGCCAAATGCCATGCCTAGGACCTGGACTTTCCCAGGGGCGCTGAGGAACCTTGGAGGGCCACTGACCTGGGAGTCAGGAAGACCCCAAAGGTAAGCCTGAGGCTGAAGCTAGAAGGAGGTCAGCTGCCCACAACCCCCACCCCAAACCAAGGTGCACACGTGTCATGTCCTGGAAGCTGTCCCTACCCCTACCCCACCCTAATGTCTTCCTGCGCTGACTGTGTTGGTAGCTAAGAATAGATGCTCCCTTCTCAGCCCCCGGAAACCGCAGCCACGGGGGGCACGTCCTGAGCCTGGCCTCTGTTTCCCACCGGCTGCCCCCCTGGCTGTTCCAAAGCTCCTGTTTGTCCCTAAGCAGGAGACTACCACAGCTGGTAGACCTCAGCCTCCAGCTCCCAAAGGGGTTTCAATCTCACATGTGCTGGTGGACCCATCGTTTCCTCTCATCTAAAAAATGGGCCTTTTGACCCCTTGCCTTACAAGCAGCGGTGACACTTAGACTTAATGAGAGTACCAGAAAGGGTACTGACCCAGTTATCACAAGGCTGATGAGGACAGAGGAAGTGGGGTCAGAATCCCACCCTGCTCCCTCTCCCCTCCCACGTTTGAGCTCCTTGCAGCTCCCTTGAACTCTGTTGCCTCCAAAGTCTTACTTACACTCGCAATTTCTGTCACTGCCATACCTATCCGACCTGGTGAACACCTACTCACACACAAAGCCCCAGTTTTCATGCCCTCTATGATAAGGAGCTCTGGTAGCGTAGTGGTTACGAATCAGGCTGCTAATCTCATGGTCAGCAGTTCAAAACTACCAGCTGTTCCATAGGAGAAAGCTGAGGCTTTCTGCTCCCGTCAAGATTTACAGTCTCGGAAACCCTGTATAGGGTCACTATGAGTTGGACCCAACTCCACGGCACATAACAACAACAAAATAACTGAGATGCCTTCCCTTCCCAGCTCACCTTCTAGGCTCCCCTAAGCCCTGACCTCAGCTTCCTCCAGCCTTGGGCATCTCGAGGGCAGGCCTGTTTCCAGGTCTTCTCTGGGGCTCAGAATGGTCCCACCATGTGGGCTTGGCACAGTGTTGCATTGGAAGAGGAGGCTTTACAGAAGAATGGGCCTTACAGCCAGGGGATTGATGTATGCATAGGAGTTGGGTAGAGAAGTTAGGGTTAAATAGCTCAGACAAGGGGACAGAATGGGGGTGGGACCCTATAGAGGGATGCAGGATGTGAGCAGAAGTGTGAGGCCGGAAGGATCAAAGATAGGAAGGATGGTGGGTGGGTGGGAACCCTGTAGAAAGGGCTCTGGATACTGCTGGGGTGGGAGGTGGGGCAGGGAATCAGTCTGCCCCTGGGTGCCAAGGACCCGTGGGGCGGGATCGGTCCATGACTCAGGCCAAAGACTTGTCCCCACTTTGTGTGTGTAAACCCAGGTACCTAGTCATCTCTGTACACAGCCTTGAAAGTCTACCCCAGCCTCCAAGCCCCTGAGGATGGTAAGCAGGAAACCCCTCACCTTGCTCAATCAGGCCCACCTAGACACATAAGACACACACGGAGCAGCAGTGAGTCTGGGGTCTCACAAGGAAGCCAAGTCTCTGAGCCAGTTCCCACATCAGTTACATAGTTCCCTGGCCTCAACCCCACAAACATTCCAGCAGACAAACTCCACGCCTGCTTCCCTACACAGGCTCATGGATCATTCGGGCCACCCAGTGGGGCCTCTCCTTCTCCCACCCTGGTGTCCAAGCCACCACCTCTAAGCCCTTGTCCTGGGAGACCCTTCCCCATAACCTTTCTTCTCATCAGCTCCTATAAGCTTGCCTTGCCCACCAAGATTCTGGAACCTTCTCAAGGGATGTCTGAATCCCCTAAATATCCCTGAGGCCCCTCCCAGTCCGACCCCCGGCAGTGGCCTGAAACAGACACCCCCACAACATGTATTAAGCACCTACTGTGTGCCAGCCCCCACTGCTCTGGGTGAGCTGGCTTTTTTCCCTAGCCTCTGGATGTCCCCTGGGGAGCTGGCCCCCCGCCTGGT